GCTTGAGGCGGAAGGTATTACTAGGATCCAACCATAAACGACTTTTAAATAAAATCAATCCATTATGCAACTGATAGTCAGGAAGAGCAGCAAGGTCAATTTGCATATGTAAAAGTAATGTATTGTGCGCAGAACCAGCGATCACATATTGTCTCAACTGATCCATAAAAATGAAATTAGGCATGGAAATGACATAAAGAAGGGAAAAGTTTAATAGTTCCAACACCATGAGATGATATTCTAGAGCCATAGTGTAACAGAGGGAAAAGGATTAGGAAAAGATAAAGAGAAGAACAAAGATTTGTTACCAGTAATATGATTAGTGGCTCCTGAATCAAAAATCCAAGGACCAAGAGAAGAGGATTGGATTAGACCAACAAAATATGTACCTATGTGTACAACAGATGTAGTGGAACTAGAAGACTGTTGATCCTTATACCATTTGAGAAATTTGTTAAAATAGTAGGTATGTCAGATGCAATAGAAGAAGGAGGATCCGTAGCAGACAAAGGTGGGGAAAAATCGGTCTGAACAACTGCAACAGATCAAGGAGGACGACCATGTAATATAACACTTGTTAATCTTGTGACCTAACTTGCCACAATGTTCACACTTAGAACGTCATTTTCCCTAATTGCGAGGGCGAGTTCGGTCATCACGGTGAGATGCCAATGTTGAAGAATCATTAACAGAATTGGAAGTAGTAGAAGGAGTGGAAGAAGTCATGAAGGACGGGAGAACAAACCCTAAAAAAAATCCAAAGAAATCCAATCAACCCACGAAACACAGATCCAAAACAAAAAGATAAAAACAAGTTTGTCGAGACTAAACGACGCAGAAGACAATGGACGACCAACTCCGATAGTGGTGATCTTAATGGTACGATGGTCACCTGACCAAGACGAGCACAATTGTATGTTGCTGGTAAAAAATGAAACTTCGGCGGCAACGGCGACGACGGCGTGAACCATTACACCAGGAAAGTTCCCAAGAAAGAGAGGTGTTAATGGATACGCTTAAATACCAAATCTTTTCTTGTCAGAACCTTCCTAGACATGCACTTTCACACTACCAAATAATATCTAGTAACAAAAATAACTCTTTTTTTGATGTAGAAGATCAGTTTAACCGGCAACGGCGGCGGTGGCGGCTCCAACAGTGGACAAAGGCAAAAAAATTTCAAAATAACCTTAAGCTCTAGATACCATGTTGAATATAGAGAAAATAGAGTTTGAGATTAATCTCCCTTGTGTATAAACCACACCTAGGGTCAGTGGCGAATCTTGACCATTGATCTTGAGGGGACCAAATAATATATTATTAATAAATAATAAATAAATATAAAAGGAAGAAAGAAGATGAAAGGGTGAAAGGATAAAATTGTAGATATATACTTAAATATATTAAATGATCATTAAGTTTGAGGGGGACAAAATCATAAATTATATGAAAGTTACAAAACTGAGGAGGGGGATGAAAAGATAGAATTATAAATATACAAGTAAATATATTAAATGTTCATTAAGTTTGGGAGGGGGCCAAAATCATAAATTACATAAGAGTTATAAAACTTTGGGGGGGGGGCACGACCCCTTTCAGCTCCTAAGAAGATCCGTCACTGCCTAGGGTAATCTATTTATAATAGAGAGAGGTACAACTAAAAGAGTAAACGAAAGTAAATAGAATAAACAAAATATTGTTTGATATTGTGGTTAACAATATCTAACAATATCTTAACAATATCAAACAATATCTAACACACCTTATATGTTACTTTTGTGATCGAATATATTATAATAAAAATAATTTTTTCTATCAATTAAACGGGTTGTGGGCTAACCATCCCGTCCCGCAGCTTGGTCATCAGGTTAACTGGTGAGGTAGGCCAGAGCAGGCTGACGGGTTGAAATTACCAACTTGCTCGCCATAATTATAGCACGTTGGCGGGTTAACCCGTCGGGCTTAACCCTTTTCATCATATGTAAATGTTAAGACTTATAATCTCATTCGTCTAAAAGTAATCAAATTGTCAATAATGTTTTTATTTCAAGTAGTCCCTAAAAATAAGACGATGATGTTTACAGAAAATGGATTTGGAATATTTGGTGCCTCCATCTACTTAAGTTGGTATTTAAGTATAACATGTACAAGAATCATAATAGGGAAGTGAGAACAATTATCATTTAAAATTAGGGGTGTCAAAATAGACTTAGTCTGATGGGTTAACATGAAAGGCCCAAAAAGAAGGTCAAGGTAGGCAAAAAAATGTATGGTCTAAATAGAACCAAACAAACTTGCCCCGACCTATTTAGGTCAGACCTAAATGGACTTAGGCTAGACTAGCCCATAAACTTATGTGGTGACCCGTTTTATAAAATAATTATTTTACTAATAAAATAAAAATAATATTATTTTATTAAAAAATATATGTATAATAAATTAATTTAAAAATATATTTTGTTATATATATATATATATATATATATATATATATATATATATATATGTGTGTGTGTGTATAATTTAAAAAGAATAATAAACTGTAAACATAATTTTCATTTGCTTTGGTCATCTTCTTTTCCTCGTTACTGTTACATTTACTTTTGAGGACCAATCATTTAAGATGACATATTCTTAAATGTAGTGTATTTATAAAGTATCATGATGTGAGAGTTATGTTGGATAATAAGGCTAGGTTATTGAAGTAATCAAAATTTGACTCTAAAATTTATCGAGATGCATTTACTAGATGCATTGTTAAGCATGATCTTCAATTTTTGCTATGTTGAATGAGGGAGTTTGGGAGGTAAATAAAATTTTGAATCCCGATTTTAAACCAATGACTAGAAATACTTCAATTACATAGGTTTATAACATGTATTTAACTAAAAAGAAAAAAGAAGTTAAAAGATACGTTATCTAATATTTCCGGTAGGATATGTTTGACGACAACTATAACTTCTAAATAATAACTCATTTTTATTATTTTATACACTTGATTTTATTTTGTTTGAATATGTTATGAGTTAATTTTAAATAAATAAATGAATGACATATTTTTTTCAAACAAAATTAAAAAAAAATATTTTTAATTAGGCAAAAAATAGTCTGTTAGCTCATTGACCTAACATAGGGCCAAACTAGGTCAAAATTTTTGGTCCGTTTTAAAGTATAGGCTAGGCTGGACCATTAAATTTTTTTACTTGACCCATAGAACTAGGTCAGTCCAGGCTGGATCGCTTGTTTTGACAGTCCTATTTAAAATAATATAATCACATAATGATATATAAAATCTACTTCTCAACTTTATCATCATACTCCATTTATTTTATATTATAAAAATTTGAATTAAATTTGTAGTGATTAATCAGAATAAATGAGCTAAATTTTAATCATTCTCTAAGTGATATTTACTTATTTCAATCCTTAAGATTCAATCTCTATCTATAATATCATCAAAATTTTATAAATAATTATTATTATTTAAAAATAATTAAATAATATAAATATAAATTAATAAGCAAGAGTTAATACATAACTAAAGATAATTAATTAAATATAAAATAGGATCAATACATGACCAATAAATAATTGAAAATAAATAAAATAAGACAACTAAAATCAAAATAAGACAACTAAAAACAAAATAAATAGAATTAATGCATAATTAAAGATAAATAAATATAAAATAAAACCAATTTGTAATTAGAAATAAAATAAATAGAATCATTTTATAATTAAAAATAAATAAATATAAAATAAAACGAGAAATAAAATAAATAGGAGTAGCATATTTCTCCATTCCTCTCTTTCCCTCTCTTTCTCTCTTCGGTGTCTCCTCTTTCTCCCTTCCCCTTCTCTCCCATATTTCTTCTCTTTTCTCTTTTGCTCTCGTCCATTCTTATTGTGATCATTTTTTATATCTCTTTATTACATGAAGATATAAGTCACCTTATTTTTTTATTATATATATATATATATATATATATATATATAAATATTTCTTTTATCAATAAATATATATCATTATTATTATTATTTTTAATTAATAATAACAATAATAGTAATAAATAATAATTTATGTTTAATAGATATTTTTTAATAATATATATATATATATATTTTTAATAAATATTTTTTTCCTTTTACTAATAATTTAAATAATAATAATAATATATTTCTTAAAATAATATATATATATATATATATATTAATAAATAGTTTTTTATAAATTATTTAAATTATTAAAAATATTATAATTTAATATATTGTATTTAAAAAAAATTATATAATAATTTTTGAGATTTTAAAATAACAGGTTCTCTATGCAGCTAGACAACAAAGCGTGAATGTGCACCTCAGAGCGAGTGTATTAAACACAAAGTTATACACAATGTGCCAACGAAATCTATTCATGAAGGAACCCATTGAACAAGACCAGTTGGACCATATAGCTTGTATGGTCAAATTTGAAGCAAATCTTTGTCACAGGTTGACTTTACTCTCGTAGGTTAAAGTTCTGTTACATTATTTTATTTTATTTTTTTTCAATAATACAAGGACAATGTAAGCTATATTCACTTAATTTTACTATATAAACAAGGGTATAGGGTAATCCAAATTACATAATGTAGTTACATGAACATCGACTAATGAAATCTATTGTCAAATGCTACAAGGGTTTTCCCAAACTCTAAAGAGAGGATATATATATATATATATATATATATATATATATATATATATATATATATATATATATATATATATATATATAATTTGGAAAGGTCTTCTTGTTGAAGTTTTTGAGGGAACACTAAACGTGACAGCTGATGTGGTATTTGTCATGCTCTTGCACGAAGCTGCAAATGTTGCTTATGTTCATGGGAATAATTTCAAAGGTGGAAGCAAGTGAACCTGGACGCAACATTAGTCCTTAGAGAGTTGAAGGATCTGATAAGAATATTGCAAGGGAACAACCGATATCGAGTGGCCACATGCTATTCTGCGTTGTTGTCTTCGCTACGTTCTCTGATTTCTGAATGCATGCTGTCAAGTGGTAAATGGAATCTAGTACGTGAAAATGCGTGAAATCATCAGCTTTAGAGGTCACAGAATTGGTCTTCAATGTCATGCACTACTGATGCACACGCAGCAATCTTCAAAGCTTTCATTTTCTTTTTCTTTGACCTTTTTTGAACGCTTTTGGCTGGGTAGAACTGAACCACCTAGGCAACCTCTTTATGCATGGCATATACATAATTACTTATTCTTTTTTAAGATTTTTTGGATTAGAATTTTTAATCAATTTAAGACTTCTTTTCAATAGTATTTCATCAATACTTTTAAAATATATAAATAAGAATTGTGCATTTAATTGGTAATTAATTTTTTTAACGAAGATAATACAATTTTTGACATTTAAAGAATATATTTTTATAGGAATTTGTTCAGTTTCAAAAATCTGGAAAGTTCAATGAATTATACTTTTAATAAAGATTTCAATAGATTTTATAGAACTTTTTAATCAATGTATAAATACTACACTTATCACACAATTATAACTAAATCCCTAATATTTTCCTAATACTTATCACTTTGATACTCTTTGTTGAAGATTATATACCTTCACTTTGATAAAATTCTTCGTAAAAATAAAATGTTATGAAATTCTTATTAACTAATATAAATGAATCTACATGCAATTTTAAATATACTATTCTAATCCAAAACAAAAAGGTGATGCTAATACATAAAAGATATGAGAGGACATGAAACTAGAACCAATTAACAATTAAATGCTTGAAAATTTATATCGGTTTTTATTTAAATCTTATATTTTCATTATTTTCTTTATAGGCCCTTCTAATTTTAAATATTTTCTAGAAAGTCATAGAGTTTTTTTAATCTTAAATCATAAATTGTCTTTTATGGACCCATTTATATTTTTTGGCCCATTTTAAACAACAAAATCTTAAATCATAATTAAAAAAAAAAAAAAGATGACATTTTTAAATTGTCTTTTAAAATCTAGAAGACTTTTTTTTCCTGGTACAATAATATGTTTTCAATCCAATAATCCTTAAAATCACTTTAGCAGCAACACAACCATTTGTCATTCACAGCAATCAGGACCTTGGCAAACATCCTGACCAGGTTCAGTACCAGACACAATTGTTTTGCTACATATTCCATTTCCACATAAATTCCCCATTTTTAGAGCACATTTCTGCCTTATAAATAGGACCCTTTGTGTGCTTTCCAAAGCAATCAAAACATGACAGAGACTACATGCTGGTTGTCCCTTGGAGTTCCTCTGAGCACTTCACGCTTGGGACTAGTTCTATTCAGTACTACCCTTTAGATAGAATAGTCTTTATCACCTAAAGTGAAGTGTTTGGGGGAACTTTTGGGTACAAACTAACACTAAATACCAACTATATATCAATCAAATTCATTTCATTACTTGCAACAAGGCATTTGTTTGTACATTGAAAACCAACAAGGAACTGTATTTCATTTCTTTGAAGTGTTTGGGAAAACTCTCATCTGTTCAGCAGAAATCAAAGGTCCTGCATTGTCTTATACATTTTATACCACTGGTTATTGGATAGCGCATACTAGTTAACTATAGATGACAAGCTTACATTATTATTATTATTATTATTGTTATTATTATTATTATCATTTGTGTTCCTTGTTAGCTATAGCTCCTTTAATACTTTCTCTTCACATTCTTCCTTGTCTGATTCCATAATCTGCAAGCATATAATGCTGATGAGGCTTTGCACATAACAAGATTCTGGAATCCCTTTCTGTTTACTTTATCAACAGTTCCACTGCTGAAGAATTAGCTTCTTGATTTAGATGTTTTTGAACCTTCTCCCTCCCCTCCCTGATCCAATTCCCAAAAACTTCTGCGTGATCCCATTTACCATTCCCCAGGTAAACTTTTGCACTTGGGTCTATTATCATCTTCTCAAGCGCAGTTGCATGCCTTAGAAGATAAGCTGCAATTTCAATTTCACTTGAGTGTCCTCTAATGCCAGTTATTACCACTTCCTTCAGATGTTCGTTTGAGAATCCAGGAGGCCAATCACTTTCACTCACCTCTTCATCAATACAAAAATATGTCCTTAACTGCAACAATTAGATCAGTGTGAATATAAATTATCAACAAAAACTGCTAAATACTGATATGATATGACAAATTTACTCCTTTTCTTTTTTTTTCATTACACACAATCTATATATTTTTTTTATTTGTACATGTTTGGCTTCTAAATGACATGGTCATTGTATTTTAATTTATACATTTTAGAAATTAATGAGAAACTTACATGCAACTCTAGTCTTCTGAGAACAGGGCTTGTTTTCAGGATTATGGCTACCCACCACAGGTCCTGTCGAAGTGTAGCCACTTTAATAACTTCCAGATGCCTCAAACATGTAAATGTTAATGCCGGCATTTTGTTTTTCATAACCTCACCCTGCAAAACAGAAGCGTCATATACAGAAACATGTCATGACACAATTAATACTCCATGAGAAAAGCTTCCATATTTACACTCAAAATTCATGCATTAAAAACATAAACATTTTAACTTGAAACCATAGAGATTGTAATATAATCCTATCTAATAACTTCTTTATGATCAAAGCATTCAAAATCTACTAATTTTGCATCTTATTCTCACATTCTACAACCGTTAAAGTTTACTATAAAATGTTAAATCACCAAAAAAAAAAAGAAGTGAGAATAATATTTGGCATTTTTTGGTTGAGAAAAAGGTATTACACTAAAAAATTATTTAATATATATACCTAGTGGAAAATAAATAAGGTAAAAAAGATATATAGGTATGACGATACGGGATATAATGATATAAAAATAAAGTTAAAGAGATTATGATAACTAATTAGGTGTTTGAAAAGATGAATGTTTAATAAAATCATCATTCTATTGAAAAATATTTTTAGGCATCCCTAAAGTGGTAACATCTTGAGAAAAATAGTTATAGAGGAGAGATAGCATCCTCTTTCTGACGAAAATGTATAACTATTAGTTAAAAATTATTAGAAACTACAAAATAATAAGAAAGTTATAATAAATAAGACATGAGACAAAATATTTTTTTTTTTTTAATTTCTAACCATAAAAAGAGAATGTGTTGAAAAACATGCTAGAAAATAAATTAACAAAAGTACAAATGCTGATGGAGTATTTGTAATGTGTTAGTATCTAAATTTAACACTCCTTTTTATTTTACACTTTGTCATTCTAATAATTATATTATTTTTTTTTATTTCATCTAATTTCAGTTTTTTGTATCTCTTCCTTTTTGACTCATTTGTTGTTCTCTTTTTTTAGGAAGTATTAACTCTCTTTTTTTCTTATTGGATAAAATTTATAAAAACCATAAAATCATGAAAAAAATTTCCTTAAATAAAATATAAGAGTCGTTAAATCTTATAATAATTTTAATAAATAAAATGTTAAAAAATTATGTAACAAAGTAGATTGCAGTTTGTTCCCCTTATCTCCTTGGTCCTTCCGTCTAATAAAGTACGTACAGTCCAAAACAGGGTGTTGGTTCTGCCAATATTCCCACTCTACCTTTTATTCTAAAATGGGAAGATATAAATTAATTTTTCATCTCATATTTTCTAACATAGAAAATGGAGTTTAAGAATAGTGTAAAATTAAAAGGGTGTTAAATTATGATTGTTGGAAAGAAAAAAAAAAAATCGAAACAAGTGTAGAAATGTACGAAAACGTATTTAATAAAAGAAAATGATATTTAATATACAATCATTTCACATCTCTATCATAAGAATAATACAATTTCATTATTATGTTATTATAAGAGGTTAAAAATGATCATCAATATATTTGTACCCTTTAATAGATTGATGTGAAAAATCAACACTCTTGCTAAAAACCACGTACCATGAAACAGCTGCACTGCATGATCAAAGTTTCCAGCTGGGGTAGATCAGTGGGAAGTCTGAGGATTGGCCAAAGCTCGTTATGACAAGCAGTGGAATCACTCACAGGACTGTAGAATGACTTGAGAGTTGGCGCCTCAAACTCAAATTCAACTTTGCTTCCCCTGTATTCCAAGGTCTCCAAACTGTTGCTGTGGAGCACAAGTTTCTTCAATTGTTGGCAGAGACCCACGTTCAGGTACTTCAATTTCTGGCAAAAGGGTTTCTCTATTCTCAGGTTTTCCATATTGTAGCACTCAGAGAACCCCAACCATTCTAGGTTGCTGCAGCTAGACAACAAAATCTGGATGTGCACCTCAGATTTCAGATCCACTCGGAAGAGTTGCATTGTTGTGAGTGTGTTAAAACCATGGTTATATGGCATGTGGGGGGCAAGTACACAATATGCCAAGCGTAGACACTTCAGAAAGGACTTGAAGCCACTTGCACCCTCGTTGCCAACAATATCACAAGGGAAGACATGGAGGGAGGCATCATTTGGAGCACTGAGGCGATTCTCTTCTTCCAACAAGCAAAGATCAATCTCTTCCACATTTTTCTTGATGGCAAAACGAATCCACTCATCCAGATCAGTGGAACCATGGCTGTTGTTGCTAAATGTGAAGCAAACCTTTAAGCTGTCAATCTTTTGCACCTGTTCAACATGTGACAAGTACTGGTTCACATTACTAACGAAGGCTAAAGTTCTTTCCCTTCTGAATTTGAACCTTAGTACCTCGCTTTGGTACTGCCAAGCATTTCTAGCTGAGTGATCTCTCTTTAGCATGTTGTCTTCATTAAAAATAAGGCTTGTTGGATTGGCATAAATGTGCTCCCATTTGGACGAGAGAACACTGGTCTTGACAGCTTCCATGACATTGAGGGAAGACAAAATCTTGCTCAAAATTATGTTGGGAAGGTTGCTGATATAATCATCTTTGTTACACTCAACTACTCTTCGTTTCTTCCGTTTCTGATTCCTCATATATTCTGTACTCTTTCTCTAGACTAGAGAAAGTAGTGGTCGTAGCCAAAAGGAGAGAATAACTAAGACAAAGCCGTATTAATAGTGGGAGTACGGTGAAAACTAAGTTCATGCTTGTCTTTATTCAAATTGTGATAATCATGCAACAAATCAAGATAAATACATATCTTGGAATATGATTCAAATTAACTATAGGGATTATCCCCCTTATTGCCGGCATCTATATACTTTCATCTAATTTAAGATACGAATAATCCTTAGGATATGCATCCTTGTTTTTGGTGTGCCCATTGGCAATAACTATGTATGTTGAGGCCAGATTCTATCTAGACAGTAAATCATAAAATTAATATCTTTTTAGATGGCCTGTTTTAGATATTCATATGCAAATCATCATATCAGTAAATGTTCTTTCCTCTGTTTCTTTCGGACTATAATAACTATAATCCACCATGACCACTTTCCATCTGGTTTACCTTTTTACCAATGCAAATCATAAAAACTCGTTTTTACTTTTAAAATTAATTATGTTTTCCTAAATTGAGTGAGATTAAATTTACATTTTATTCAAGTTTCAGTAGCAAATTTTATTAGTATTAAAATACAAAGACTTTTCTACGTCTGATAAAAATATATAAAAATTAAAAATACTTTTTGTTTCAAATTACTTTCCATTTTTGTTACCTATTTCACCATTTCTATCGTTTAGCCATCAGTCATGACGGATAATGATAAGAAAGTAAAGTTGATTATAAGTGAACGACATATTTAATACGAGGAAAATATGTAATGAATTAAGAGTGTAAACTATGCTTTCGTTAATTATCTTATTAGGAATCTTTACGAATGGTAAGTTTCCTAATTTTAATAATAATCATCATTTTAAGAATCATATTAATTGTAATTTATTATCATGTTATTATATATCTTTTTATAATATTATTACACATCTTAATACTCTAAATACTAAATAATTAAAGTATTGTTTAATATTTTATTACGGTCATGAATATGTTTTGGCACGTATCTTCTTTTCTGAACTTATTTCTGGTCATAATCGGTACTCAAGTACTGGCCTTCACTATTTAGATAAGTTCAATCTCATAATGTGTTTTCTTTTAATTTCTATGTAATGTAGCATAAAAAATATATACTTTTAATTAATTATGAAAATGAAAATTATTTTACACCACCAATAATCTAATAATGAAATATGTCTAAGGGCGGGCCACGGCCGGGGAGTGTGGGAAATATATTTGTCCAAATCAATAAAAGAGTTAAGTTAGGTTGATTTTGATAAATTTGCTATTCAATTTATTATATTCTTCACAATAATTTATTTTAATTTTTTTGTAATTAAAAAATAAAACTGGGCTGGTTAAATTTATTTATCTGACCTAAGCCAATCAAGTTTGGATTATTAAGTAATTAGGATCAATGTCATCGAGTTTACCGATCTAATAAAATCCATGTCCAATAATATATGTTAAGAAATTGCAGAGGAAATTAACAAGGTAAATTCTTTGTTCTAAGTTTAGTGTTTCTCTGAAATTTTCTTTTTATAGTTAAACCTACCTAATTTAGAATGTGTTCAAGGAAATTAGTTATCAATTATTAGAAGTTTGTCTGCAACAATTCCAATGATGTAAAACTTGGGCAATTAAATGCTAGAAAATTAAAAAAAAAAATGGGAACTAAAAACAAGAAAACATAAGTTTTCTGTTTCTCCTATAGACATATATACAAGAGATTCAAGTAAAATGATTATGGATAAATTATATGGATCACAAAACATGGAAACATTTAGAAAAAATCACTCACTAGTGGCAAACACTCATAAATATTATATACATCAACTACGCGCATATGGCTAAACAACTCAACGATGATTAATTCTATCTTGAGCCAGAAAATATTAACAACAACGAGCACAATTTATAAACTCTCTACTACACCACAATTACAATAAATTAGTGTAATAGCATGCATAACATGTTTAAATGATGATTTAAGCATACTACGCTACGTTCACTACTATTAAATAATTGCTTTGAGAACACAAATGTATTATAAGACAAAGTAAATAATAAGAACATAATGAATTTATATGATTCAATCAAAATAATCTACTCTCTTATTCACTTAAATAAATTTACAATTATATGAGTATTTGTAATAAAAAAGAAGAAGTAAATGGGTCAGATATAATAACTCTTCAGACTCCGCATGTTTAACAATCTCCTACTTTAAAGCTCATCACATCGAGTACACTCCTTAATAAATCTAGTAAAACTCAAAGTTATAACACTCTCAATTTAGTGCAATGTCATCTCCATAATTAACTGTTAAGTCGTAAAAAGTTGATATAATTATGTCTTGAATTGTTATGAAACCACTTAACTTATGTTAATTCTAATCTATTTTTCTCCCAATATAGGATGAATTCGGAATACATTGATACAAGAGTAAGGAGCATAATTGTCAGCATAATTAGAGTAAAATTGAAAGAAAGAAGAGCTCTTAAGAGAATGAATGATGCGAGGCCCGACCCAAATTCTCTTATAAAAAGATAAGTTGTGTTTTGAAAAAAACAGACAGTCTTGGAGGAAAGGAAGCACGACTACTGTTAGGGTTTTGTCCAATCTTCATCAATTCTTCACTTCTTCATCAATTGGAGCATTGTAATGGCCAACATGAGTGACTAACTTCATTCTCTTAGGATTCGGTGCACTTCCTTTGAACTCTTTTGTATCATGGTGATATTTTGAGATATTAATCTATGCTTTGATGTTGTTATTCTTATCCTTTATGCTTTGGAATGATTTATTCTTGATTGTTTGAGGTATGATTGGAAAATATATCTTGAACCCTAGATCACGGTAAGAATATTTATTACGTTAATTGTCAGGAATGGAATGAATGTATCAATTGCTTAAACACCCTAACCCTAATGCTGGAAAATCTGTTAATTGTGTGAGGAATCAACATTTATTAGGTTTTCTTATGAATTTCATGTGTGAGAAATCAACATGGATGATTTGAGTAGGTGGCATCAACATTGTTAGGTTAATTGACGTTCTTAATTAATTTAGCCATTACAAAAGAGGGATAAGGAAGGAAGTCAATCCTGAGTACCTTTAATTGATATTTTCTCAACAATTTACAGTTCTTTGTCATTTAAATTCAACTCAACTCTTATTTGCAAAACTCAATCTGTTTAATATACTTAGTAAGCATAATTGGAAATTTTCATTGAAACTGTTCCTCGTGGGATCAACTTTTATTTTATCGAAATACTATACTGCGATTGATAATTTTGGTACGCTTGCCAATAATTCAACAAGTATTTCTAGCGCCATTGTCGGGAACGATGTTCTTTGAGAATTCTTTGTTTAGCTTATTGAGTATTTTATTTTTATTTCTGTTATTATTATTATTATTATTATTATTATTATTATTATTATTATTATTGTTATCATTATTATTATTATTATTATTATTATTATCATTATTATTATTATTATTATCATTATTATTATTATTATTATCATTATTATCATTAGTATTATCATTATCATTATTATTATTATTATTATCATTATCATTATTATCATTATTATCATTATTATTATTATTATCATTATCATTATTATTATTATTATTATTATTATCATTATCATTATCATTATTATTATTATTATTATCATTATTATTATTATTATTATTATTATTATCATTATCATTATTATCATTATTATTATCATTATCATTATTATTATTATCATTATCATTATTATCATTATTATTATTTAGTTTTTAGTTTGTGCTAATATTTGCTTGAGTTACTGATTTATGCGTTTAAGAGGACAAATATCTTCAAAAGAAGGGAAACTCAAGAACAAGCTACAAGAGAATCTGCTAATTCTTCTTTCACACTTGATTTACCAAACCCAATTATAAAAGATATGGCGGAAGGAGCAAATCTGAATCCAGATCCAAATACAAATCCAAATCAAAACTCAAATGCAAATTCACCGAGAAGAACTCTTAGAAATTGTGCTATGCAGCAAGGTCCAAGATATTTTTCCAGCATTGTCATTCCGAATGATCATACATTGTAGATGAATCCAGCTTTCTTAAGCTTGATTAGTGTTCATCAATTCACTAGATTGGATCATGAAGACCCTTATATTCATTTGTCTACTTTTAATGAGTTGATTGATACCATGGGATTTAGAGTAGCAAATCTTGAATCTGCATATTTGATATTATTTCCTTTTTCTTTGGGAGGTAGGGCAAATGAATGGCTGAAAACACATCCTAATCAGAGTTTGACTAATTGGAGTAGTGTAGAAGAGAAGTTTCTGAACAGATTTTTCCCACCATCCCGCTACATCAAAGCAAAATCGACATCACTTCTTTCGGACAAGGAGCGAGATGAGCAATTTTGTGAAGCATGGGAGAAATTTAAATCACTCGTTGAGAAGTTGCCCAAATCATGGATTTGATGACGTTTCTCGATTGAATATTTTCTATACTCGGCTTGCAACATGATGCAAAGATGTTATTAGAGGCTGCAGCAAGAGGATCTATGTTGGATGTAGAAATTGATCATGTCACCAGAATTATTGATGCACTAGCCTTTACAGACCAACAGGTCCAACATGATAGACATCCAATTCAAAGGAAGGGAGTACTTGAACTTAACAGACTCATATGCTATCTTAGCCCGTAATAAACTTATAATGCAACAAATTGAAGCATTGAACCGGAAGATAGAGAAATTACCTCAACAAATGCACACAAGTACAATCTATTCTTAATCAACGAGATGAGTTGTGATGTGTGTGGAGGTGATCATGCAAATGAACAATGTTCTTATCACGGCAACATTCAGCAAGAAGAAGCTAATTATATGGGGGTCCAAGGTAGTAGTCAAGGCAGACAAGGCAATTTTCCTAATTCCAATAATTATCAGAATAATTTTGCACAAGGATGGA